ATGGATCTGTTGATCAAAGGTGCGTAATATCGTTTAGATTTTAGAAATGATATGTTTGCTGTGGTATGTGATGATATGTCAAAAGAAGATAAAAACGAAGCACAGTTACGGAATATACACCATGTTTATTGCGTGTGAGTGGCTAACTTCACTGACAGTGCAAGTTTCTAGACGGCATTTTTTGTTAAGAGTACAATACAGTGAAATCCATTTGTGGTCGGTGTGCAAACTGAGCATGTTTTATTAACATCAGGCAACTGATGTCTGAAACAAATGCTATATCCTATTTGCGCACGTGTTAAGCTGAAAATGATATTCATGTGGCATTATTTATGGTAAATTGATACTAGAAAGAATATAGCCCTCGGTGTTTCTAAGAAACAGTTTCTAAAGGTACGTTATTAGTTCAATGTGACAAGATTGTGATATATGAAATATGATTCTGAAATTCTGGACAATGGTAATTTGGTCGATACACATTACATGTATCGGTACATATTCCAAGTATCAAACTGAAGTGAAATAACATTCCTTTGGATTATGGGAATCTAATATTTTAGTGACTGTATTCAGTGAGAGTAAGTTTGTAATTTACGACAGGACTGTTGGTGTGGAATTTGCTATCTTTATGATCAGATATAACGAAACCACTACCAGAACCCCATTAACCTTTATATAGACAACCATTTACCATACATAATAAGGAGCCGATTCTTCAGTAATGAGTTGGGTTATTTATAAAGATAAATCAATTCATTTTCCTTATATATGGTGACTATTAGGTCATTCCAGGCTGCTAGTGTTTTTGTAAATAAATATTATCACACTTTTCTGTGATCTATGATAAACATGAGGTATCAATAAAATACATTTCTACGATAAACTATGTTAATACCTTTTAAGTTCTCAGTCAAGCCCCTTAGTGTGTTGTGTACAAATGCCATCTCTCACCCTCATTTCATAGATAAACCTTCTAGATTCCTTTATCAGTGAGAGAGAGAGAGAGAGGGGGAGAGGGAGAGGGAGAGGAAGAGGGAGTGGGAGTGGGAGGGAGAGGGAGAGGAAGAGGGAGAGGGAGAGGGAGAGGGAAAGGGAGTGGGAGTGGGAGTGGGAGTGGGAGAGGGAGAGGGAGAGGGAGAGGGAGAGGGAGAGAGGGAGAGAGAGAGAGAGAGAGAGAGAGAGAGAGAGAGAGAGAGAGAGAGAGAGGAGAGAGGGAGAGAGGAGAGAGAGAGAGAGAGAGAGAGAGAGAGAGAGAGAGAGAGAGAGAGAGAGAGAGAGAGAGAGAGAGAGAGAGAGGGGGGGGGGGGAGGGAGAGAGAGAGAGATATTCTTCTCAGGATCATTAACAGCAAAAAAATATATATTTATGGAATTTAACATGGCAATCTCTGGTATTTTAGTCCTATCCAGTGTGGAAAAATAGTGAAGTAAAACACAATTATAACAGTTATAACTATTTATTACATGGTCATACCCAGTGAAGACATGTACAAATGTACAAAAAATTATCATGTTATTCCTTTATCAAAATGCATATCTATGACTGGAATATCACAGCAATTTATTATTAATATTCCAGTAACCTGAGAAGTGCAACTGCAAGTATTTTGTTTGTTTCTTGAAATCATGACACATACATGCACACGCAAACCCACACCCACACCCACACCCACACACACACACACACACACACACACACACACATATACACACACAAACAAAATTCCAACAAAATATTTTCCAAATCCCTTTATCCTTCGCTGGTCTTGTTCTCTAGGACACTGCGCACATACTTCTCCACTTCGTTACGCTTCCCTAACCTTGTGACCTTCCCTGTGAATCGACTCTTGCCTCCTCCTCGCCCTTCCAAGATTTCGCATACCCTAGAAATATCAAATACATTTTATTTATTTTAATAAAAAAACTCTGACCTGACTCTGACTCTGACCATAAAATATAAGACATGCATAAGAAAAATTAAAGCTATTAGCCCTTACTTTGGTCCAATCTGTGACACGAGATCCTGTGGTCCGTGTACTACAAGTGAGCCCGGGCCTTTGTCTTCACCTACAGTTAACACTTTCAACACATTCTGTGGAGAAATACGAAAAATTTGTTTCAGAAAGGGAGTTTAAAATAGCAAAGATGGCTGTATGAAAGAAAGAAAAAAAATTGATTTACATTAGAAAAAAAGATATATAGAGATTACACTACAAGATACACACATCATCATTGATTTCATTAATAATGGCACTCAAGTAGTCCATGTCTCCATCACGACGATGATGGAAATAAACTGCAGGTCGAGGATCCAGCACTGTAAATTTCTGCCCTTCTGAGATTGCTAAGTCTTTCATGGCCTCTCGTAAGGAGCGTAGACTAGCTGTGTGGTAGAAAAGGAAAACCAATAATAGTGATGAAGTTTATGATGACAAAAATGAAAACAATAATAACCAAAAAATCATTAATGTCAATCTAAATTATCAAATAAAAAGTCTCACATTTGAGGTCATTTTGGATCTTTTCAACAAGGCGTATGTGATCAGAGGGACAGGAGTGAAGTGTGGTGTTCAGCTGTCGTTCACGCTCTACACACTCTCCAAGATATCTGAAATTGGAAAATGTAGAGACTGAATTATCAACTGGAATGTTAATAAAGAATAAATGTTATCTATGCATAACATCACACATTTGTAACTAACATTTCCTTGAGATAATTCTCAGTTCTATGAACTACTCTAGGAGTTGGTAAAACTAATTCTTAATTCCCAATATTTTATATAATTAAAATTACTTCTTTCCTTTAAATTTGAAAATTTAACATAATATTCTACAAAAATGCCAGAAAAGGATATGTACTTGGATACGTATCACCTTTATGCAGTCAACCTTTTAACCCACTGCCCATGGGCATGGCATGTATGTACATGTATGTACTGTTTTTACACATAGATGGCTACACTTGTACTAAGTCACCAGTGAGCCAGTTATGAGTACTGCCTCGCACTTTTACCCTTTTCTCTGATATATGAATATATTTTACATTATCTTATTTTGTTACTAATGTTTATAACATTAAAGTATTTATAATGTTTATAATAAAAATAACACCACTGATATTTATGGCACTAGTAAAAAATATGTTCTTCCTGCTAATTCAAGGAAAGGTGAAATCAGGTAAGGTTACAAGATCTACTAATTGACTCCTTTGTGGCTAAGCCCTAGCAGAGCCATCTATGTTCAGAGACATTTCACAAAAATATAAAAAAATGAAGACAGTATTTTCCCCATTTTTTATTCATTTTCCCCAGCAGAATGGGGTAATAAATCTATTTTTGAAAACTGATCTTTTATACTAAGGATATAAAATAATCTATGACTGAAAATCATATGTTACACTGACTAAAAGATAAGGCACTGTTTAGCTAACAAAAAATAGGTCAAAATTGTGAAATGACTGTGCTGCAAGTATTGTACTATAGTGCAAAGGAAACAGCACATTACACTGGCATACAGATCAATTCTAAGAAAGTTTCTTGTAAAAGATGAAGTTGACTACAAAGGTAATAATAACAATAATAAAATAATAAAAGTAAAGTTTGCTGTTTTGAAACAACTCTTATTTCTTTAATTGGGTTATCTTCTTCTACACACAGATATATACACAGCAGTTCATCTATGATTTTTGTCAGAATGCCACATATGCCATGGCAATCCCTTTACTCTCCTTTTAGTATTTCCTAAATGAATAACCGTTTTATTTTTTCTTTGTAACAACTAGATCCCATGTAATTGCAGAAAAATACTTTGTATTATATACATGTCCAAAAAGAAATAGAAAGTTATAGGAAATCTTTCTTGAAATGAAACCCTTGGGAATTAATAAAAGTAAAGGTAATGTCACTATCACTACTTACTACTGTGCTACTGACACAAGAGCCTACTGCTCATGACCTTATAATGGAGAGCATCAACATGTCAAACTTTTCTTGAATAGATACAAAAAATGTGAAACATTTGCAAATAGAATTCTAGCTATCACTAAACCTTTATGTTCATATGGAATGTATGTCATGCCATGATGAGAATGGGCATCACATCACTTATATATAATGGCTCTATTATCTCAGCCTGCTCTATCATACAGTGTCTGGAATCTTTTGCAGGAATCTAGATTAATAAACATGCCTGTCTTGAAGCCATAAACCAGAACTTTATCAGTGCATATATGGCCTGTACATGGCTTAGCACAATGTTTATGAGTAGCCTAAGAGCACAGGCCTTCTTGGTTAGTTAATAGGTGCAATAAGGACAAAGATTTAAAGCATCAGAAAAATGTTTTTATGTTGTTTATATCAGGAGAAAAACCTGAAATCCCTAGCATATGTCACAGCTACCCATACTGCAGCAAACTCAGTGTAATGCATGGTTTATGTTAACCCATTGCTGCCTGGGATGGCATGTACGTATATGCCATGCCCACTGTGAGTCGACTTGTTTGATTGTTTTTACACATAGATGGCTACACTTGTACTAAGTCACCAGTGAGCCAATTACGAGTACTGCCTGTTTCATCCGTTCACCCTTTTCATCGATTTATGAAAATATTTAACGTTATCCTAATTTGCTGTTAAAAATATCACCATCTATATTTATAGCACTAGTAAGAATATGTTTTGTCCTGCCAATTCAAGGAAAGGTGAAATCAGGACTAGCAGGACCATCTATGTACAGAGATATTTCACAAAAATATAAAAATTGAGTACAGCAATTTCCCATTTTTTATCAATTTTCCCCGGCGGCAATGGGTTAAAGCTGTGCTTGTTAAAGTAATTTTAGTGGCAAACATAAAACTCATCACCATACAACTTCTAAATGAGTGATATGCCCTATTTTTTTTTATACTTATGGTTAAATAAAATAATGTGTTTTTTCCCTTGAAATATGTATTTACATAACTAAAAGTGATCAAACATATCTTGTGGAAAAAGTTTTTTTTTA